TGGATCAAGGCATGTCCCTACACATTTATGTTATAAGAGAAGACTGGATGATGATAAGTGTTTATGCTAGTCCTTAATATCTTAAGTGAGGAAAAGTATTAGACTTTCTTGCTCAACAAAGTTTTGTCATCAGTAACCCATGGGTGGTGTTGGATGATTTCAATGATATTCTTGTTCTCTTAAAGAAAAGAGGTGAGGTTTTCTCCCAAGCAGGGGAGGAGGTCTTCTTTAGAGGTTTAGATAGATGGCATTTGTTAGATATGGAGTTCTTTGACAATAAATTCACCTCACAACATTGTTGTAGATGTGGAATGTTGGTTTATAAGTGTCTAAAAAGGGGGGTGATTAGAGGTGGTGTCGCTTCTATAGAGCACTTGGTGTAGTGTTAGTTGGATCATAACCTTTTTTTCTTACTATGATGTCATCATCAAGTTGCTCAAAGGAATAATCTTACTTTTCTTTTCCGAGCAATTTGGTGTAGGCATGATGATTACCAAAAGCTCGTGGAGTTGGCTTGGTCTAAGAATACTAGTGATGTTTCTTGGACTATCACAAATGTTGTGAAGGATTCCTTAATTTTCAACAAAGAAATTTTTGGAAATGTGTTTGTCAAGATGATGGAGCTTGAAGACAATTTATTTCTTTTTGAATAATTTAAAATAACTTATCAAAGGTATAATTTTAAATGAATTAAAAGAAAATGAGTTCAAAAACGTGTGAAAACATTACAAATCTTTATAGAAAATGTGGAAAACATGGATTTAATAAAATAATAAATATTGACTTATAAAAACTACTAAGTGTATTTAACATGGATATTTGATTGCTATGATGAAAACTATCTGTACTTCCCAACACAAATTATATAAGCAAAATAGACTGCACTAAATTACAATTTTTTATTAAAGCTTTGCAACTTTGAGTGTTTTTCTCGTGTTGAAATAAATAAATACTATGTGAATTAACCAAGAAAAAACCCTTCTATAATTTTATTTTTTTTATCATTCAACATGAAGATTAATTTATATTTTTTTCAATTTATACAGAACACTAATAACATCAAAATGCTTTTAAAAATAATTTTTAACACAAAATATACATAGGTAGCTGCAATATATATATATATATATATATATATATAT